ATCATTCTGTTAGACTGGGTAGTCCAGAGAAACAAAAGCAGTGACACTTACATGTGTGTTATATAAAGAAAAACTTTATATCAAGAAGTCATGTTACATGAGGAAGTCATCTCTGCCCAGCCCAACTCAAGTCTATGTGTCTGATGCTAGCCAGAGCCCTCTTTAGACTCACATGGCTGCAGACCAATGAAGCAGCAAGGTGACGTTGGAAGCAGGGCAATCACAGTCCAGTGGGGTCAGAGTCATGTGGACACAGGTTGATGGGAACAGGGTGGAGACAGCTCTCAGACTCAACAGTCTATATGGAGAGCCCCCTGGGGGGCAGAAACAAAATTTAAGCAAACAAGAAGGAGGGCAAGAGAGAAACAAAGAGGGTTCCCAATGTCTCTCTTATAAAAAGACCACTGTTAAGAGGCTGTTACCTGATTGTTAGGCTGACTCCACAGCTACACTTTCATCCAAGTGCAAGTTCATATAAAATCTAACCACTGCACTGGTCAATTTCTCTTTCTCAGCAGCAGGTTCCCTTTATCCCTCTCCTCCTGGTTCTAAACAGCCTACTTACCTTACACTTCTTTTTAGGGACTCTAGGATTTACCTAGATTGTAGAGGCCACCCACTTTCCCTGTTTCATAACCTAACATCTTTAAAGTGAGGAACATTGCATATCTTTGGTCCTTCTTCAATCACCACATTTTTCTTTCTCTTCTACCTCTTTGTTCCACTTTTGAGACTGCCTGTGATTACACATAGGTCACCTGGTTAATACAGGGTCATCTAATTACCTTAAAACTATTTGGTTTACAAATATATTTTTTGTGTTTAATCTTAATTATAAATTCTTACTGAAAACTATTTAGATCTGGATTGTGTCTGTCTCTACCATGCTTCCAAGTAGACTGATATGGCAATGTTTACATAGCAAGTGATTCATTGAATCTGTATCCTACAAACATTGCCTGGGACACAAGACCTGTTTGTGAGGAACAGAAATGTGATATTTTTCTCATGATCTCAGACATTATTGATATTTCCATGTATCACATCATTAATAGCAGCCATTCTTATAGAAAAGATTGGGAAAAGATCACTAGTTACTGTTGAATTGACTCCACTCAGGATACCATGTGTTAAACAGAATAAAATATTTCTTGATATTCCTGCAGGCATGAGTCCTTTGTTGTGGCTATTTTGGCAATCCATCTCAACATCTCTATCACCCTTGTTCATCTTGTATTAA